GAGCACATCATAGGTGTCTAATAAATAGTAGTAGCTCCGCTCCCCACTACACTTAATTCCCTGACATCATAGGTTGTATCTAATCTGCTTTTACTTTGGATGGTCATAGTTTATTCAGTTTGTAATTTGGTTAACAATTTCTTGGCCTATATTTCTCAGACTTGTGTAACTTAAAAAAAAAAATTTATCATAGAAAATTTCAGATATATCAAAATTAGAATAATAAAACTATTAAATATATAACTACATATTATAATAAATGCTATATAAAGGAATGAATGAAATGCTGTAGAAGAAAAGAATAAGAGGAAATCACTTTGAATTGTTGTTAGGGGCCACTGAGTAGGTCCTGACATTGGGACCCTATGCACAACAGAACAAAACAATGCCTGGTCCTGTGCCATCTGCAGAATTCTTTGCTTTGCTCAAGTCCATCATTGTAGTCACTGTGTCATCCATCTCATTGAGGGTCTTCCCCATTTTCACTGAATGTTCTGGTTACCTAGTGCCGCTCTGACAAGAATATACCACAAATGGGATGGCTTTCACAGTTTGGAGGCTTTAAGTCCGATTTCAAAGTGCCAGGCTCTAGGGGCTGGGTGAAAGCCCCCCAACCTTGGGCTTCAGCTCTGCCTCTTGCTCCCGGCCCACTGAAACTAGAGGCATCTTTTTACTCAGGCAGCTACTGGCTGCTGAGTCTAACAAGCCCAAGGTTGACAAGTAATAAGGCACAGTCCTGTTATTACCAAACAACATGGCAGGCCATTAATTCAAGTCCATTGGAAGTCCCAGGATTGGCAGAGCGTGGCAGGGCTGCTGAACAATGACATGGCTACATGCAGGGTTCAAGCGTGCCATAAGCTAGAGACCATTCCCAAAGTTGCTTCTTATATACTGTAAGCAGACCACATCCCTAAAGCAGCTACTCAAATAATTGCTACTCCAATAATCAGCTACTCAGTAATTGCTCCAATAATCAGCTGCTCCAAAAATCAGCTACTCAATAATTGCTCCATGGAGTCAATTACCAGTCTTACTGTGTTAGACTGGGTTCTCTAGAGAAACAAAACCAGTAAAGCTTATATATAGAGAAAAAGAGAACTTTATCTTAGGAAAATGGCTCACACACTTATAGAAGCTGGCAAGTCCAAAGTTCTTGGATCAAACGTCAAGCTGGAGGCTTTTCCCGACTCTCGCAGCTGCAGGGGCTGAGGAGCTCAAGGTTGGCAGGCAGTATACTGGCTGTTGACTCCAACAAATGATGAATCCAAGATCTCCAGGCCGAATGGTGGAATGTTTGCTCACAGACAGTTGTAGGCAGCACAACAGAATCCTGATCCACAGAAGAGTGTCTCTTTTCCCAGGATGTCCATAAATATACTGGAAGCAGGTCATACACCTAAGGAAACTCCCTTTCAATGGATTGGCTGCTCAAAACATATTCATCTGATCCCATCATGGGAATAACCACATCACAGCTGCTTAAACCACACAGAATTGTGGTCCAGCCAAGTTGACACACAGCTCCAACTATCACACTTACCATGGGGAGTAACTACATCCGGCTTCCCAGCCACTCAACCAGACCTAGCCAAGTTGACACACAAACTTAACTACCACACTGACCCTCTCCTTTACTAAGCATGATATCCTCCTCCAAGGACTGGTCCCTTATGACGGCCAAAGTACGAGAGGCAAGTCTGGGCATTCTTGCTTCTAAATAGCATCCTGGCTGTACTTCTTCTAAGACAGATTTGTTTGTTCTTCTAGCAGTCTGTGGTATTTTCAGTATTCTTTGGCAACACCACAATTCAAATGCATCACTTTCAATTGGGTGATAAATAAAGGCCTTTCTGAGGTGACATCATGATGGAAAACTAAAGGATGTTTCTTGCTATGCAAAAAGTTAGGGGACTAGTTATTAAAAACCTTTTGTTATCAAGTCAATTGAGACTCATAGTAACCCTGTAGGACATAGTAGAACTGCCTAATAGGGTTTCCAAGGCTGTACTCTTTATGAAAGGAGATTGCCACATCTTTGTCCTGTGAAGCTTAGTGGTTTCAAAGCGCTGACCTTTCAGTTAGCAGTTAATGCTTAACCGCTGTGCCGCTGGGACTCCTTGTTCTAGTTATAGGCAGGAGTGGATTACCCAAAAGGCAAGATAAGCATGGGCTTACTTGCTGATCTGTAGTGAACAACTTTACATGTGATATGGTGAAACCCATATGAAATTGTTCACTACAGATTAGTTAGTAAGTAAGTACAGGTAAGCCTATGCTTATCTTGCCTATCACTAGAACAAGGACCCCTGGTGGTGCAGTGGTTAAAATCATGGGGGTGATTACATCATTATGTAACTGCCAGATTATATCATTACATAACTGCCAAACCACTAAGTCATGGCTCAGCCAAGTTGATACATATTTTTTGGGGTACATAATTCAATCTAGGGAGCTCTGGTAGCGTAGTGCCTGAGGCACTTGACTGCTAACCAGAAGGCTGGTGGTTCAAACCCAGCAGCTACTCCTTGGAAGGAAGATGGGGCAATCTACTTCTGTAGTGATACTGTCTCGGAAACCCAAGGAGGGGTCGCTATGAGTCGGGTCCGACTCGACGGCACAACAACAATTCAATGACATTTTATCCTATGGCCCCTAAAAATTCATGTCCTTGCCACATGCAAAACACTTTCACCCCATCCTATCATCCCAAAACTCTAAAATCAAGTCCAAGTCCAAATTCTATCCTGGGGCAAAATTCCTCTTCATCTGTGAAGTAGAATATAAGTTATCTGCTGTTAAAGTACAGTGGTAGAACAGGCACAAGGTAGAGATTTCCATTACAAATGGGAGAAATTGGAGGGAAAAACTGGAATAATGGGTACCAAGCAAGGAAAAAGTTCAGCAGAACAATTTACATTAACTCCCAAGGCTTGAAAATAATTCTCTTTTCTCTGAGACTATGTAGGCAAAGGCCCTGGACTCTGGACTCTGGGTATTGGCCATGTTCTCTGGATTCTGGGTAGAGGCTCTACCTTCTGGACCCACCAGGACAGTATCTCTGCTCCTTTGGCTTTGGGCAGCCCCATTCTTCTTGTCCAACTTAGTGGCAACCCCACCCTCTAGGCCTAGGCAGCCCCTGTTTCTCTGCCCCTTGGGCATGGCAGCCCAAGCTTTGAGCAGCAGTTCTGGCCTCAGCTCCCTGGCACTCATGAACAGCAGCCTCACACTTTGGAACTGGGTTGATGAAGGTCTGATTCTTAGAAACCTAGGAGGCTATGATCCCCCTTTGAGACCTCAGAGGCCCTGACCCTACCTTTTTGAGGCTGAGGCAGCTTTGTTTCCCATTGTCCTTGTCCGTCAGCTTCTGCTTCCTGGTTCCTGTGCCTCTCATCCCTCAGCCCCGTGGGCCTCTTGAGTTGGCCCAGCCTCCACCCATTTTGGGCAAGTGTTACAAAGCTCTTTAGCTCTACTGTTAATTTGCTGGAGGAACCCCGCTCTGCCGTAAAGCTTTGGCCTGAAGGCACTCAACTCTCTCCCTGTGTGGGTAGGCAAGCCTAGCTCCACAGCCAAGTGCCCAGAGGCACCCCACTCCACCAGAAAGCCTCCTGCTTGAAGGTGCTCAGCTCCCTCACTGTGTTAGATCCTATACCAATCTTGGCTCCAGTCTCCTGGTTCTGCTGCCTCCATTTCTCTGCTACTATTGCACGTCTGCACCATCTACCATGCTACTGCTGCCCTCACCTCCTTCGTAGCCCTTTCCGGAATTACCTTTGATGTCCATAATTCCACTAACAGTCTTTTCCAGGCAATCTAGTCTTTTACTGTTACGCACCTTAAAACTCTTCTGGCCTTTACTCATTACCCAATTCCAGAACTGCTTCCACATTTTAGGTGTCTGTTAGAGTAGCTTGGGTGTGTCCCAACTCATAGTGAGCCCTCCTTGGGTTTCTGAGGCAGTATCACTACGGAAGTAGATTGCCCAATCTCTGGTGGTGTAGTGCTTAAGGCATTTGACTGCTAACCAGGAGGCTGGTGATTTAAACCTTCCAGGTACTCCTCAGAAGGAAGGTTTAGGATTCAGAAAATACAAACCAGAAAACCAAATCCACTGCCATGGAGTCGATTTAGACTCATTACGACCCCCGTTGGGTTTCTGAGGCAGTAGATACTTAGAAGTAGATTTTCTGGTCTTCCTTTCATGGAGTGGCTGGTAGGTTTGTTAGCAGTCAAATGCCTTAGGCTCTACACCACCAGAGCTCCTTTCAGAAAGTATAGGGAACAAGAAAATACTTGAAAATGTCTTCCTCAGATCTATCCTTACAGGTAGTTAAAATATACTTTTAAAAACCATGATAAATCAGGCTCTGAAGTGTATTCTTTCTTACTAGCCCCCAAGCCTGGTAATATTTAAAAGGAAGATTTATAGTACTAAAAGAAATAGAACTGACTTAATGTAATTGTTTTAGTTATTTGAATTAATGCTTCTGTAGAATACCTAAGAATATTAACTTTTATTTGGAACCATTGATAATCAGAACATAGATAAGAAATATTTTAATAGTTCTTTCTAAATCCCTAGTCTACAAATTAGTTTATACTGTGACTCAGTTTATGTCCCTTTTATGTATGTAGTTAAAAAAAAACAGAGTTTCTTTACCCATCAACATTATAATCTTACTGGTCTGAAATACCTAGTGGAGTTTTTTTTATTAGATTTTAAGAGAAATTAAAATAATGAATTCATTCTGATTTAAAAAATCAACTCAAATGAAAATCTTTGGCACTCTCGGCTCTCAGTGGGAGACACGTAGGTAGCTATGAAGGCACTCTTCAAGCATCTTGTGGGGTTCTTTATTTGCCAGTAGAAGAGTATCCTGGGACTCAGTGAGTACATACAGCATTTGGTAGCATCAGCTTGCGTACTACATACTAGTGTGAGGTGATGTACTTAGCTTTCTAATGAAAGACTTTTATTTATTTTTTCCTTTCTTTTGTAGGAATATATTTGTCCCAGATGTGAATCAGGCTTTATTGAAGAAGTGACAGATGATTCCAGGTATTGTACAAGCCCATGAATAAATCAGGCTTTCTATCAGAATTATTTTCTTTCAGCATCAACTGAATAAATAGAAGGGAACTTATTTTATAATGTACTCTCTCTGCCTGTAGAGGGTGTGTGTGCTTGAAGGTGGAATGGGATGTGGAAAAATGGGACCGGGAAGGGGAAGAAAATAGGGAGATTGGGAAAGTGATCGGATAGCGGGTGTGATGAGATCCACTGTTCCTGATGGTGTGTGGCGTTCTTAGGGAACTTCTCTGTCGTAACAGCGTACATCTTGTGACTTTTCATTTATTCTGTGAGATTTCAAGGTTCTCTGAGATTATTGATTGAGTTTTAGTGACCACACTGTCTATGGCCTGAAGTTAAATTGCTGTTAAACGTTTTGGTGGGTGGGGAAGTGACTTTTGACAAACATATCTAATAAGATACCGGTTGTTCTAGCCAGGAAAACTGCGTTACTTGGCTTTGAGGAAGCCTTGGGTCTCTTGTTCTTATTAGGATAAATACTGTAGGATTTTTATGGTCAAATTTATACCATCTTGTCATTGTATTAATATTTGTAATGCTTGAAATTGGTTGTCATTGGTTTTAATAAAGATGTAAGATTGATAAAAAATGGAAATATTTCTGAAAATGATAATGCTATCTGTTCATTCTTGGTTACTATGAATAATACTATAAAAGCTTAATAAAGATAGGATGGCCTTTTTTTGGCCAAACATGAAGGCATTTTTCTTCTTTTGGGATTATCTGGTTAAATATTGATTGGACAACGAAAGAAGTACCGAGGGATAAAAAGGGTCTGTAATCTGAAACTTTTAGTCTTAGAGTGCCTTTGTAGGTTTTAATGGCAGTAGGTAATTCCTGTACTATTGCTATTGGCAGAATCTAAGGTTGAAGGTCCCTTCCACAACCAGGAATAACTACACACTTTACAGTATGTACTATTAGTTTGGCTTTTTAATGATTGCTGATTATATATGTGTAAATGAGCTGGAGCTTCTCGGGCAGTGTGTAGCATGAAATCTAGTTTGATCCAACACTTACTTTGATCTAATAATCTTGATTATAAATAATACAATACCACATTAAGATTAGCATGATAGCAAATAAGCAATTTTGTGTGGATGGCATGCTAACTCGGGATATCTTTTTATTTGTGCTGTTATAATTGCATCAAATACTTACTTCAGGCACTTATGCTCTGCATGTGTTAAATAAGGATGTATCAACTGGAGGGGGTAATTAGCAGGCTTATTTTTTTTCTAAGCTTCTGAACCTGGTTTCTTTAGTTAGCCTTATGTATGAATTACAGCTATAAATGAGGATAATGTCTAGAAGGGAACTATGAATCCCATAGATTCTGCATCACTTGACTTCCTGATTCTTTTGTGTGTGCTTTTGTACATCAAAGGTTGTACTGTGTAGGTACTTGGTGGTAGCAACTACTCAGATGTAAAGATTGTATCTCTTGAAAGGCATCAATGTTTTAAAATAGGTGAAAAAAATCTTTTTTGTAGACCCAGTGCCTGTTAGCAGCAGTATGGTATTCCTTACTACAAAGTTCATAAACAAAGCCAATTTGATTACTTGGTAGTTACCGTGTTAAATAATGGATGGTAAGAATTAGTAAGTTCTTACATGTAAATATTGGATAATGTGCCATAAAACACATTCTGATAGAAAACTTATTTAGACATACCGCTGAAGGAACACCTTGTGAGTTTTAAGCTTTGTCACATTTCTAGGGACATTGTGGTTATCTTTATTGTCCCTTGTCTATGATTAGCTTTGTTGTTAGTTCTCATCTAGTTGGCTCTTACTCATGGCAGCCTAGTGTATATCAAAAAGAAATGTTGCCTGATCCTGTGCCATTTTCATGCTCTTTGCCACTCTTAAAAAGGAATATTAAGAAAAGAGAATGCTGAGGAGTTTCAGGGAGAAGCAGAACCCCAAAGAATAGAAATGGTGGTTTCAGTTACCAAGGATATTTAAATGCCTTAGACCATGTAATGAAGGCAGAACAGAAGACCCCTTGAAGCCTGTCTAGGCTTATGCAGTGAGGATACACAGCTATTCAACTTTGTTTAAGTTATTTGTTGGTTCAGTTAGTTAATTAGCATAGATGTATAAGTACTTTTTAGCTTGTTCTGCATTTGAAATAATTTTGACAAAAGTGTTACTAACTTATGAAATAAATGTAAGTTATCAAATGGTATTTTTTATTTGTAATTTTCAGTTGGGATTTTTAAAAATACATAATTTATATAGAGTGTATTCTTTTTCATTTATAGAAAGTATGCATAAAAATAAATCATCCATCTAAACACTTAGGTTTCCAGTAGCTTGTCTAGGCCACTAAATTATTCTAAAATATATTTAGGAAAGGTTGGCATCCTGAACAAGATCTTTTGATAGAAGCTAAGTTTTAATTATGGGGGAAATTGGATGGGTAAAATTCTAGGCACAGGCTTTTTGGTAGCAAGTCAGTATTTTTCTTTTTGGTTTCTACCTATTTCACTCCTTGAGTACAAAATGTACCCACCAGCTGTAGTTTAGGGCAATTATTTCAGCAAACACTTTCGAGGAAGATTCACATTTATGCTGCAAACTTCCTAAACTGAGTATTGGTTTCTGAGGGCAAGGATTATATCTTGCTCATTTATATTTCTGCAGTGGCTATGGCATAGTAGGCACTCGATAAATATTTATCTGACAGTTGAGATAGCTTTTCTGATTTTCCTTTGTTTGGTTGTGGCCTTCAGGGAATTGTAAAGGAAAAGTAAGTGGACAGGGTAAGTTAATAGAAATAATAAGTCACAGGCAAAAGAGAGAAGAGAAGAAACTATTGCAGAATACAGATGCAGCATATGGAAACACACTGCATATTCTCCAGTTCAGGTAAATTCAGTGTATGGCCAAGTTGGCTGTAAACATTTTTTGGTTTCTAATCAGAGAATAAGGCATGAGAATGATTACATAAAGAATGGCATTAGCTTTGCTTTTTTACTTTTGTTTCCAGACTAACCAGGGTATGTTTGTTTACTCAATGAGCTCAGCACATGGCCTGGGTACCTGAAAATGAAAACTATTTGTAGTAGTTTGTGGACTGTATAGCATTGGGGTGAGTGTTTGTATGTATGTTTGTGTGCTTCTGGGTGTCTCTTGAAGTATAGCGGCATCCAGCAGTTCTTGAGATTCTTCCATCTCCTTCCCTCACAGTGTTAGCCAGTTCTTCTCTCTGCATATTTCTTAGGAACAACAGGATCTAAGATTTCTCCTCATTCTTTAGGGTCTTTGGGAATAGGTGGTTATTTTATTATTCATATATGTGATATTAATTCAATAACTTTTATTTTTGAGTTATCAGTTGTTAGGGAAAAATGTCTAAAAATGAAATCTACTCTAAACCCAGAAAACCTCTCCACAAAAATAGAAGAAAAACAAGTTTTATTACTGAATAAGCATTAAAACAGGATGTGGTGCATCACAGGCAGTCTGCTAAAGAGATTGTAAAGAGACAAGAAATCTAATCCTTTATGTAGTTGAGTAAGAAACCCTGGTGGCGAGGTGGCTAAAGTGTTTGGGTGCTTACCAAAAGGTTGAAGGTTTCAACCCAGCCACTCCATGGGAGGAAGATGTGGCAGTGTGTGCCATAAAAACCACAGAATTGGAACCACATGGGCAGCTCTCCTCTGATCTGTAGAGCCACTACGAGTCGGAATCAACACCACAGAACCGAGTTTTAATCTTCACAGAAGCAGATCACCAGGTCTTTGCCCCTTGGAACCTCTGGGTGGGTTTGAACAGTTAGCCTTATGTTTAGCAGTAAAGCAGCCCTTAACCATCAGACCACCAGGGCTTATCGTTACAAATAATCTAAAATGAATTCTGAAAGAGCTGGGAGGAGAGGAACCTCTTTCCTTATTTCCAATAGGGAGAAGTGAAACCTCTTATTTTAAAATTGTGCTTTTCTTTACACAGTATAGTATTGCAGCATTTTTAAAGGTTATGAATACTCTATTATATCTGACATATAACAAATATTTTTGGAATCAATAAAATACAGACTTTGTACTCTGAATTTATGTTTATGACAGGAGGGAAAGAGGTAGAAGTGGATGAGAGGAGTCCTAGAAATTTATAATACAAAGTAGAATTTAGAATCAAAGTCAGGTTGCAGACAGGTGTGTGGAGAGGTCTTACTTGGTTGGAGAGATCAGAAAAGACTTTATAGAGGAGCCAGCATTTGAAATGAGCCCTGAGGGATGATTAGGATAATCAAACAACAGGATGAACTTTAAAAGAAGAAGTATTGACTTAGCCCTTTTATAATATGCTAAGTGTATCAAACCCACCACCCACTCCTCGGAAAGAAGGTTGGGCAATCTACTTCTGTAGTGATACCACCTTGGAAACCCAAGGAGGGGTTGCTGTGAGTTGGGTCTAACTCAGTGGCACCTAACAATAACAACAACAACAACGTCTATTATTAGGCCTCTTACATTTAATCATTCTCAAGAAATATTTAACTATTGTAGCCTCAAATACTGTGTTCATTTCGTAAAATGGTTTTTTAGTGAAACATTGTTTTGAAAATCTTGTTTTATTTCTTACCCTCTTTAAGAATAAATGTTTGTTTTTCTTCTCTTACTAGGTCAAATGTGAATTGCATTACTTGGCTGTGGGTCCTTCTCCCTTCTCTGTGGTGGCCCTTCTCTCCATTTTTCATTTGATTTAGCCTTGATTTGGGGGTTTGTTATGCTATTTTCGATAGATTAATCCACACACCAGTTCCCCATAATTTCCTTTGTAGTTGTCATGTTGGGATGATTTATTTTTCCTTATTGGGCTTTGTTCTTATTATACCATTCTATATTTAGCTTTTGGGAGGGGAGCTTGTTTCTGGGAATAGAATCACCACTCATTCCTTTTTCTTTTTAGTTTTTTAGGTGGTGGTGGAAGCCGGATAGATAATAGCACATCAACACATTTTGCAGAGGTAAGTTTTCGATTGGCTGCAGGGATTCTTTAGAAAGATGGTGGGTTTTAAAACCATGACAGATATTCACTTCCCAGTGCAGAAAAACGTCAGAGTTTGAATGTGTAAGAAAAATGTGGGCAAGAGTAATTTTTAGAAAAGATTTGTGTTTTCAGTAGCTGGAGCTTTGATATGTTACTTTTGGTAAACCCTTGGTTGTTGTTGTTGTTAGGTGCCATCGAGTCGTTTCAAACCCTTGATTAGGAGAAAGTAATAGCTTCAAGCTGTGCTGTCTTAAACCTAGTGGTGTTTTCTGTTTCATTAATTTATATGTAGCATGAGAACAGTGAGCTTCTACTGTTTTTGAAATAGCAGTGGTGTAGACTGTGCTCTGGAGGCATGATAGCCAGCAGGTAAAGAGCACACCAGGATGAGTTGTTATCAATGTCAAAATGATGACGCGCAGGCTTCAACTTTGTACAGAGGTACTGTTTCTAGAGATTACCTTGATGAACATGTTAATTTTGAATTAAGGGGCCAGATTAAGGATAAGATACTTGCCTTCCAGATCCCATTAGGGAGCCTATAATTAATTTCTGATTCTTTATGTACTGTAGCATCCATATTTGGGGGAGAAAGAAAAAATCTTAACTATGACTTGAAAAGAAGGATTAGACTGCATCTTTGAATACCATTTTATATGTAATTTTCTTTTTTTTTTTTTTTTACTTTATTTATTGACTTATAGCCTCTTCTTTGTTTTTAATCATTAGAGATTATAGCCTGGAAGGGACAGACCAGCTCAGCCTACAAAAATACTGGTTTGCTTTTACTTCTGAATGTCATACAACTTGCTTGGCTCTAAAAAGCTGACAGACACTAAAAGAAAGAAAAAAGTTAAATTCCATATTCAGAATTTCTTTGTGTTTCTGGGTCATATTAACCTCTTCCAGAGAAAACTGAAGTGCCTAGAGAGCTAGTAAAAAAAAAATTTGTATTTATTTGTGTGTATGTATAAGTTAAAACTGTTATTAGTATGTATTTGATAGTTGGTATTCAGTAACACCATAAGTCCCCAATCTTCTCTCATTTATTCTTTGAATAAAATTTAAGACCTTTAGCCCTTCATGTTTTTGCATTGTTAGATTTATATAAGAAACTTGAAATGTTTGGGTAATAGTCCTGCTTTATTAAAGATGTTTTATTTTGCTTATGATCTATGATATTTTAGTATTAAGTTTTCTTGGTTAACTGTGAACTTGGTTAACTTGGTTAACTATGAATGGTGTGGTACATGTATTGGTTGACTAGAAAGTGATTCAAGATGGACCATATCTTTGACTCCCATTTTTATCTTCTCATTCTGATGGATCCAAAGAGCATTATTTAAAATTTATTCTGCTTGCCAGTCCTGGCACTCTTTCTAATTTCAGTATTTTCTCTTTCCTGTAGGTGCTATTCCTGATAATACATATTGTCATTTACTGATTATACATATGCAGGAGAAACTTCATCTGGTTTTCCTTAAGTGTTAGTTCTCTTTTTAGGAAGTAGAAATAGATTGGTCTGTCAGTTTTCTGGGTATGATTCACCAGGAGGAGATGCATTGAATAATAAGAAAAAATAAATATATGTAGTCAGTTTCCTAACTTTAGTAATGCTAAATCTGACACTGGTGGCATGAGCTGTCCTTCAAGTGTTGAAGTAATTTTGCTGAGTCATATAGCCTGTGACTTCATGTTCTTTAGCAGTGATAGGGTTTGTAGCAGGGCATCATTTTTCCTAGTTTTCCTTCTGTAGTATTCCCTTGTCATAATGCCTGAATATTTCACTCTTCTTTTTTTTCCCAATAATATTTTGCATTTAAAAAAATGGGAAAAAAATCTCTCTTTGGAAAATTATGGAAGTTGCCAGGAATTGAAAAAACCAAGATAAGAAATATATATTGTGTTCTTTTGTACTCAGCACTCTATCAGGAGTAGGGGTAAGAAATAAATTTTATAGTTGCCTTGCCTGCAAGGAACTTATAATTTAGTTGGGGAGTAAGTGCGAATACACATGAAGCAAGAACGGTAATTCAGGGAGTATAAAAAACTTACGATGGGCTATATGTCACAAGTACAGTTTAAAAAAAATGAACATGTTGACAATATTAAATTTGTATATGAATTTATAAGCTTTATTTTTCAATTCATGAATTGGGGAATGTCTGAGCTGGAAGTCAGACAAGAGTTCCAAAGAGGAGTATGATACAAAAGGGTTTTGTAGTCACAGATGCACAGGAACAAGGAAGCTATACTGGACAAATTTTGCATTGATTGGTGGACATTTTCTTTTCTTATTTGGAATGAAGGGGAAATAGTAAACTAGGTTAAACCAAGGATTCGAACCAGTTCTTTCCAGTTAAGTCATGGTCGATGAAGTGAAAACTATAGAACAGACCCAAATTTGTAAATGATAACTGTAACAGGAAAAATTATGGGTTGACATCCTGCTATAAACATAATGTCCCTCATAGAAAACAAGGGCAGCATGTGCATTGCATAGCCACCAGATCTTTTGACCTGCAGAGTCAGAAACAGTGGAAAGATGCTGGCCCACCACATTGCTTTAAATGTGTGTTACTCGCCACAGTCCTGGCAATAATCCACTCTGCTGTATCAGGCTTCTGACAGGGCTTCACTATGCTTCCTGGTCTTTTGTCTCTGAAGCAAAGGACACAGCCTCTTTTCAAGGATCCCCCTTGGCACCACAGCCTCGGGCCAGAGCCCCACTGTATGTGTTAGCTGAAGCTCAGCTGCTGGGGGTGCAGGGGAAAGGTGATTGAAAAAATCAAAAAACCCAGACCCACTGCCATCAAGTCAATTCTGACTCATAGCAACCCCCAGTAAATCTTTATGGAAGTAGATTGGCTGGCCCATCTTCCTTCTCTGGAGCAGCTGGTGGGTTTGAACCACCTCCCATTTCAGGGCTTTGGCCCATAATTTTTCCCATTCTAGTTATCTGGTACACCCACATTATACCAATTTGGGTCTGTTGTGATTTTGCTGCGTTGACCATGAGTGGACCAGTTTGAAGCCTTGGGTTAAACTGAGTAGTCAAGTTCTAATTGGTTAGCTTAGGTTTCCATTTCCGGGAAGTGACTTGGTTTTAGCTCCTGGTAAATTTAGGCATTTTTAGGAAACAGGAACCACCTAGGTTTTTTGGTTTGCTATTGGGCCCAGCATAAGTAACTCTGTTTTGGCTCTGGTGGCGTAGTGCCTAAGGCACTTGACTACTAACCAGGAGGCTGGCAGTTCAAACCCACCAGCCATTCTTCAGAAGGAAGATTGGGCAATCTATTTCCATAGTGATACTGCCTCAGAAATCCAAAGCGGGGTCACTATGAATTGGATCTGACTCGAAGGCAGTGACTTTGGTTTTGGTTTTTTATTGTCAGGTTAACAAGGAGAAGGAAGAGATTAGCAGTGCTTCAGTCTTTGGATGTATCATATAACATAGTGATTAAGAACATAGCCTCTGGAACCAGATTGCCTGAGTTCAGATCCTAAGTCTACCACTTACTGGCTTTGTATAGTGCAGGAGCACAGTGCACTGCTGTTGAGTTGGATCCAACTCATAGCGACCCACTCCTGGGTTTTCGAGGCGGTATCATCACTACGGAGGTAGATTGCCCAACCTTCCTTCTGAGGAAGGCTGGTGGGTTTGAACCACCAGTCTTCTGCTTAGCAGTCAGATGCCTTATAGTAAACTAGTAACCTTGAAAGGTTGATGAAATTTAGATAAGCAGAAAGGTGAGAGAATTATCCCAAGATAGTTTTTATAGGCTATCAAGTTTTATCCTAGAGGGAAAACTTAGAAAATTGTATTTGCAAATAGTGAATAGAAACTTCTCCATATTTTAGCTGGTAATTTTAACAAGGGCTTATCTTATGCTCAGTTTTCCTTTTAGTTTTCTTCAGCTAGAACTGCTTGTGCGATGAAGAGGTTATTTTCTATCATTAACATTTACTAATAGCTAAGTTCTTAAAATACTGGATATATTAGAAAGATATAGTCTAAGTAAAATTTCTAACAAAATCATCATTGATTTTTGTTGTTGCTGGGGGTAGGTTGGAAAGGTAGAGAGTAGTTGAGAAGGAGTTGGGGTGGGGAGAGGGATGCCAGTTTAATGAGAGCCCTTTGAGTGGTAGTATGTGGGGGTCAGTGGAGAGTGAATCTAAAAATGTTGCTAGCAGTTTGTAGAGAGACAGAATGTTGCTCTTCTGAGGACCCCGGTGATAACTTGGAAAATTGAGCCCAAGGCTACCTGAGCATTTCATAGATTACTTTTGTGCTGAAAAATACACCCTTTGAATTAGTTCAAAAGAATAACAGTTATTTTATTGCTGTATGATAATAATAAACCAAAACCAAACTCACTGCCATTGAGTTGATTCTGACTCACAGTGGCCCCCATTGGGTTTACAAGGCTGTGAATCTTTATAGAAACAGATTGCCTCATCTTTCTTCCATGAAGCAGCTGATAGGTTTGAACCACCCACCTTTTGGTTAGCAGCTAAATGCTTTAACCACTACACCACCAGAGCTCCATGTATGATATAATAAGCAGTTTGCAATGGGGGCAGTGTCTCCTCCAACAAGAGGAATAGTGTTCCCAGGGACTGATGATTTTACAAAGGGTTGAATACAGTTTTTTTTTGTTGTTGTTGTTTGATGAATATAAGTTTCTGTGGTGGCAAAGTTATTGATTTAGCACTAAAAAAATGATTCTGGAAAGCATGGCTGTTTCACATATTTGTAACTTTGAAACACTTAGTTTGCATTTAAAAAATTTAAATTTAAGGAAGCACACAGTCTTTTTCATTTAATTACTTGGTAATGGCTTTGTTATTGGTTGTTCTGTATAACCCTTTCATGACAAATTATTTTTTGCTTTGAATTTTTTGTTGAAGTCATGTTTTCAGTAATGGAAGACATTTTGAATTAAATGTTTTTTTTTTTTTTTTTTAAGGTAATAG